TTCGGTAACATACAGGTTACACCCAATAACCACCCTTGACTTCAGTAACATACAGGTTACACCCAACAACCTCCCTAGACTTCGATAACATACAGGTTACACCCAACAACCACCCTTGACTTCAGTAACATACAGGTTACACCCAACAACCTCCCTTGACTTCGGTAACATACAGGTTACACCCAACAACCTCCCTAGACTTCGGTATCATACAGGTTACACCCAACAACCACCCTTGACTTCGGTAACATACAGGTTACACCCAACAACCACCCTTGACTTCGGTAACATACAGGTTACACCCAACAACCACCCTAGACTTCGATAACATACAGGTTACACCCAACAACCCCCTTGACTTCGGTAACATGCAGGTTACACAACAACAACCACCCTTGACTTCCGGTAACATACAGGTTACACCCAACAACCACCCTTGACTTCTGGTAACATACAGGTTACACGCAACAACCACCCTTGACTTCCGTAACATACAGGTTACACCCAACAACCACCCTTGACTTCGGTTACATACAGGTTACACCCAACAACCACCCTTGACTTCGGTAACATACAGGTTACACCCAACAACCACCCTTGACTTCGGTAACGTACAGGTTACACCCAACAACCACCCTTGACTTCGGTAACATACAGGTTACACCCAACAACCACCCTAGACTTCGATAACATACAGGTTACACACAACAACCTCCCTAGACTTCGGTAACATAGAGGTTACACCCAACAACCACCCTTGACTTCAGTAACATACAGGTTACAGCAAACAACCACCCTAGACTTCGATAACATACAGGTTACACCCAACAACCTCCCTAGACTTCGATAACATACAGGTTACACACAACAACCTCCCTAGACTTCGGTAACATAGAGGTTACACCCAACAACCACCCTTGACTTCAGTAACATACAGGTTACACCCAACAACCACCCTAGACTTCGATAACATACAGGTTACACACAACAACCTCCCTTGACTTCGATAACATACAGGTTACACCCAACAACCTCCCTAGACTTCGGTAACATACACGTTACACCCAACAACCACCCTTGACTTCGATAACATACAGGTTACACCCAACAACCTCCCTAGACTTCGATAACATACAGGTTACACCCAACAACCACCTTTGACTTCGATAGCATACAGGTTACACCCAACAACCACCCTAGACTTCGGTAACATACAGGTTACACCCAACAACCTCCCTAGACTTCGGTAACATACAGGTTACACCCAACAACCACTCTAGACTTCGATAACATACAGGTTACACCCAACAACCTCCCTAGACTTCGATAACATACAGGTTACACCGAACAACCTCCCTGGACTTCCGTAACATACAAGTTACACCCAACAACCTCCCTGGACTTCCGCAACATACAGGTTACACCCAACAACCTCCCTAGACTTCGGTTACATGCGAGTCACACCCAACAACCTCCCTTGACTTCCGTAACATGCAGGTTACACCCAACAACCTCCCTAGACTTCAGTAACATACAGGTTACACCCAACAACCACCCTAGACTTCCGTAACATACAGGTTACACCCAACAACCTCCCTAGACTTCGATAACATACAGGTTACACCCAACAACCTCCCTTGACTTCAGTAACATACAGGTTACACCCAACAACCTCCCTAGACTTCCGTAACATACAGGTTACACCCAACAACCTCCCTAGATTTCGATAACATACAGGTTACACCCAACAACCTCCCTAGACTTCAGTAACATACAGGTTACACCCAACAACCACCCTAGACTTCCGTAACATACAGGTTACACCCAACAACCTCCCTAGACTTCGATAACATACAGGTTACACCCAACAACCTCCCTTGACTTCAGTAACATACAGGTTACACCCAACAACCTCCCTAGACTTCCGTAACATACAGGTTACACCCAACAACCTCCCTAGACTTCGGTAACATACAGGTTACACCCAACAACCACCCTTGACTTCGGTAACATACAGGTTACACCCAACAACCACCCTAGACTTCGGTAACATACAGGTTACACCCAACAACCTCCCTAGACTTCGGTAACATACAGGTTACACCCAACAACCTCCCTAGACTTCGGTAACATACAGGTTACACCCAATAACCACCCTTGACTTCAGTAACATACAGGTTACACCCAACAACCTCCCTAGACTTCGATAACATACAGGTTACACCCAACAACCACCCTTGACTTCAGTAACATACAGGTTACACCCAACAACCTCCCTTGACTTCGGTAACATACAGGTTACACCCAACAACCTCCCTAGACTTCGGTAACATTCAGGTTACACCCAACAACCACCCTTGACTTCGGTAACATACAGGTTACACCCAACAACCTCCCTTGACTTCGGTAACATACAGGTTACACCCAACAACCACCCTAGACTTCGGTAACATACAGGTTACACCCAACAACCCCCCTTGACTTCGGTAACATGCAGGTTACACCCAACAACCACCCTTGACTTCGGTAACATACAGGTTACACCCAACAACCACCCTTGACTTCGGTAACATACAGGTTACACCCAACAACCACCCTTGACTTCCGTAACATACAGGTTACACCCAACAACCACCCTTGACTTCGGTTACATACAGGTTACACCCAACAACCACCCTTGACTTCGGTAACATACAGGTTACACCCAACAACCACCCTTGACTTCGGTAACGTACAGGTTACACCCAACAACCACCCTTGACTTCAGTAACATACAGGTTACACCCAACAACCACCCTAGACTTCGATAACATACAGGTTACACACAACAACCTCCCTAGACTTCGGTAACATAGAGGTTACACCCAACAACCACCCTTGACTTCAGTAACATACAGGTTACACCAAACAACCACCCTAGACTTCGATAACATACAGGTTACACCCAACAACCTCCCTAGACTTCGATAACATACAGGTTACACACAACAACCTCCCTAGACTTCGGTAACATAGAGGTTACACCCAACAACCTCCCTTGACTTCAGTAACATACAGGTTACACCCAACAACCACCCTAGACTTCGATAACATACAGGTTACACACAACAACCTCCCTTGACTTCGATAACATACAGGTTACACCCAACAACCTCAATAGACTTCGGTAACATACACCTTACACCCAACAACCACCCTTGACTTCGATAACATACAGGTTACACCCAACAACCTCCCTAGACTTCGATAACATACAGGTTACACCCAACAACCACCCTTGACTTCGATAGCATACAGGTTACACCCAACAACCACCCTAGACTTCGGTAACATACAGGTTACATCCAACAACCTCCCTAGACTTCGGTAACATACAGGTTACACCCAACAACCACCCTAGACTTCGATAACATACAGGTTACACCCAACAACCTCCCTAGACTTCGATAACATACAGGTTACACCGAACAACCTCCCTGGACTTCCGTAACATACAAGTTACACCCAACAACCTCCCTGGACTTCCGCAACATACAGGTTACACCCAACAACCTCCCTAGACTTCGGTAACATGCGAGTCACACCCAACAACCTCCCTTGACTTCCGTAACATACAGGTTACACCCAACAACCTCCCTAGACTTCGGTAACATGCGAGTCACACCCAACAACCACCCTTGACTTCCGTAACATACAGGTTACACCCAACAACCTCCCTAGACTTCGGTAACATGCAAGTCACACCCAACAACCTCCCTTGACTTCCGTAACATACAGGTTACACCCAACAACCTCCTTTGACTTCCGTAATATACAGGTTACACCCAACAACCTCCCTTGACTTCGGTAACATGCAAGTCACACCCAACAACCTCCCTAGACTTCAGTAACATACAGGTTACACCCAACAACCTCCCTTGACTTCGGTAACATACAGGTTACACCCAACAACCTCCCTTGACTTCAGTAACATACAGGTTACACCCAACAACCTCCCTTGACTTCCGTAACATACAGGTTACACCCCACAACCTCCCTTGACTTCCGTAACATACAGGTTACACCCAACAACCTCCCTTGACTTCAGTAACATACAGGTTACACCCAACAACCTCCCTAGACTTCCGTAACATACAGGTTACACCCAACAACCTCCCTTGACTTCCGTACCATAAAAGTTACACCCAACAACCTCCCTTGACTTCAGTAACATACAGGTTACACCCAACAACCTCCCTTGACTTCCGTAACATGCAGGTTACACCCAACAACCACCCTTGACTTCAGTAACATACAGGTTACACCCAACAACCTCCCTTGACTTCAGTAACATACAGGTTACACCCAACAACCTCCCTTGACTTCAGTAACATACAGGTTACACCCAACAACCTCCCTTGACTTCCGTAACATAAAAGTTACACCCAACAACCTCCCTTGTCTTCAGTAACATACAGGTTACACCCCACAACCTCCCTTGACATCCGTAACATACAGGTTACACCCAACAACCTCCCTTGACTTCAGTAACATACAGGTTACACCCAACAACCTCCCTAGACTTCCGTAACATACAGGTTACACCCAAAAACCTCCCTTGACTTCTGTAACATACACGTTACACCCAACAACCTCCCTTGACTTCCGTAACATACAGGTTACACCCAACAACCTCCCTAGACTTCCGTAGCATGGAAGTCACAGCAAAAAATCTCCCTAGACTTCAGTAACATGAAAGTCACAACTAACAACCTCACTGGATATTTAGGAAAATGCATGTCACATTGACACAACCTCACTATAAATATGTAATAGTTAGAGAACACCCACACAACATCAGGGCAACTACCTCAAGTTGGACGGAATCACACAAATGAAGTGGTTCAGTGATATGACTGGTTTTGGCAGGGCTGCCAGTTTGCACGAAGTTAGGTTCCCCTGTACTCACAGACATGCCACCGTCACCAGGTGGCCACTGTTACAGCAGATATGAGTGTCACGTACTTGTACCCTTCAGTGATATATCTTAACTCTGATTCAGCTACAACACTGTGTAAAACTGACGTGAGTGTCACGTACTTGTACCCTTCAGTGATATGTCTTAACTCTGATTCAGCTACAACACTGTGTAAAACTGACGTCACTTGATAAAAGGGACCACGCTAGACGCCCCGCACCACAATGAGGTAGGTCGATAGTGTGCTACATGCTCATCCACAGAGACATAATTTTACACGTACTGCACTAACGAACCCATATGGATAGATAAGAGGCAACTAAATGTATCTGGAGATCAGGCTGGCTGACTTGGTTGACGGATGTCTTCGTATCCCAGTAGCGTGGATGAATGCTCAGTAGCTAAATTACATTGTCCAGACTCGATAATTAACAGACAGGTGGGGTATTGGTTAAGACAAAGTCAGGGTTCAAACCAACAAACCTCACTAATGAGTGTTGAGGTAGTGAGGTATGAGCGCCATCTGACGTGCCTAGGATCAGTTTGGCCATGCGTTATAAAATACCCATGATATCAGTCTCCATGTGTAACGCGACCCAGTTACGCTGGACTTTGCATTCCTCATGTCAAGGGTTTCTCTGATAAGAGCATGAAAACAAGACTGAAGTACGTTTACAGTTAGTAATGGGGATTGAAGGTAGGGGTCAAGGTGTGTGCACTTATGTCACGAGAAAGCTACGTGTGCGTGTGTACCTTGCACGTTTGTATGCGCGCTACCGTGTAGTGTTTTAGAGCCTCCGCCTGGAGCGAAATATTCTCAATTACGACGTTAAACCCCATTTCACCTCACCTCACCTACTCGGGACGATAATTTATACCCACAGTAGGACAGCTCTTCAATGTAGTCGGAGCGGTGGGGTAGCCTGGTGGTTAAAGCGTTCGCTCGTCACGCCGAAGACCCGGGTTCATTCTCCATATGGTTACAATGTGTGAAGCTCATTTCTGGTGTCCTCCGCTGTGATATCGCTGGAATACTGCTAAAAACTAAACTCACTCACTCACTCACTTAATGTAGTAATCTTCTCAGTTATCATGGTATATATGCCCATCGTCATATGAGCTAAATATTCTCATGTACTACGTCAAGAGGGCAGCTCTTCAATGTAGTAATCTTGTCAGTTATCAAATATAGGCAGATTGTTAGAGAAATATAGGAAATAAGATATATTGACGAAGTTGATTCATGTGTTGAAAGGTGCATTTATTGTTGTGTGTTTCAATCTCTGGAATACTTTGGGGCAATGGCATATATATGTTGCTGTCTTTAAAGACATATATGATTCTTCGTATATATGTGATTTGGGAATCGTATTTCTATGAAATTTTGTCAAACTACGTGTTTACCTTTAACTTTGATATTACAAAAACAGGGGATATCCCAAGAATTAAAGCAGTAAAAATCGCATTTTGCAACTAAAACATACTGCGGCGGTGTTAACTGAGATTATCTGAAACAAGCAGCTCTAGTTTAGCGTAGGGAGGCCTTGAGATCCTGAAGGTGAGATCCTGAGTCCCGATCCACAAAACGCTCGTAGCGCTACGACATCGTAAGCCAATGATAAGCTATACAGTTACGACAGGTCGTTCCGATACAAACGCTTTACGGATCAGGACCCTGATCCTAGTTTGAAGCTGATGCACAGACACGGTGTCATAACTATGGAATACTGTAAGGGATATCATCGTAATACATATATGACTGTAAGAGTTTGGGTTGATGTCAATCAAATTTAACAGGTAAAACATGTGACGCCAAGAAGACTTGAACCAAATTTACAAGAATTACCAATTTGAGTCGACAAGCTTGTTTTCCAGTTTTGCCCCAAAAGTGATTCTGTACCAGATATCGAGAGGACCAAGGGCGCCAAGTTTATCCCCATTTGCTTTCAAGTTGGAGACCTTTCTTCGAATGGCGAAAATAGAATATCAGGTCAGTGAGGTTAATCAAAGATATCTTTGGGCAGTAATTGACAATGCCAATCTTTAGGATTACGTAATAGAAAATATCTCACATGAATATCCGATTATACAATATAGTAAGTAATCCCTGGTTGCTGGAATTGTGAACAGTTTGAATTCTGAGAAGAAATATATGGACTCGGAATTGACTAAAAAGGATAGTCGGTTGCTCTTATTCAGTAGTCTCCAACACAAGCATATATATAATTCTAAGGCTGTTCTAATCTGGGTCGCCTTTCGATTCGCCTGTATGACAGGAACTGCTGTTTACTTACAAACCTCTCTCTCTCACACACACACACACACACACACACAGAGAGACAGAGACACACACACACACAGAGACACACAGAGAGAGACACAGAGACACAGAGAGAGACACACAGACACACACACATACATACACACGCATACATACATACATACACACACATACATGCATAGACACACATACATACACACACAGAGAGACATACATACATACACACACACATACATACATACATACATACATACATACATACATACATACATACATACATACGAACATACATACGAACATACATACGAACATACATACATACATACATACATACATACATACATACATACATACATACATACATACATACATACATACATACATACATACATACATACATACATACATACATACATACATACATACATACGAACATACATACATACATAAATACATACATACACACACTTACATACATAGACACACATACATACACACACAGAGAGACATACATACACACACACACACACACACATACATACAAACATACATACATACCTACATACATACCTACATACATACATACACACATACACACACACATACACACACACATACACACACTCATACATACATACATACATACATACATACATACATACATACATACATACATACATACATACATACACACATACACACATACACACATACACTCATACACACATACAGACATTCACACATACACACATACACACATACACACGTACCTACCTACCTACCTACCTACCTACACACACACACACCTACACACACACACACACACACACACACACACACATACATACATACATACAAGTGTCAACTAAGTCAGCTAGCCTGACCACCCAATCCTGTCAGTCGCCTCAAGATCAGCTCTGTATGCGCAACCAGGTCATCACTTCTTCACTATTTATACCACCTAGTTCTTGTATACACACCCTATTTATCCATAGTTATCACATCATAACATGTCCATATTTATCACATCATAACATGTCAGTATTTTTCTTATCATAACATGTCAGTATTTTTCTTATCATAACATGTCCATATTTATCACATCATAACATGTCCATATTTATCATATCATAACATGTCCATATTTATCACATCATACCATGTCCATATTTATCACATCATAGCATGTCCATATTTATCACATCATAACATGTCCATATTTATCACATCATACCATGTCCATATTTATCACATCATAGCATGTCCATATTTATCACATCATAACATGTCCATATTTATCACATCATAACATGTCCATATTTATCATATCATACCATGTCCATATTGATCACATCATAGCATGTCCATATTTATCACATCCCAACATGTCCATATTTATCACATCATAACATGTCCATATTTATCATATCATAACATGTCCATATTTATCATATCATACCATGTCCATATTTATCACATCCCAACATGTCCATATTTATCACATCATAACATGTCCATATTTATCACATCATAACATGTCCATATTTATCACATCATAACATGTCCATATTTATCACATCATAACATGACCATGATATCCCTGCTGATGGCGCCGTCTTACAGCTGTAATATTGTTGAGTCTCATCACTTTTACCAAGATACATGTGGTTAGGCATTACATATCACTCTTTGTAGAATGATTTTAGTGTCAAGCGCTCGTCCAAAGGCAAGATTCCATGGATGAAATACGAAGGAGAGGCCGTGGCTGACTCTCAGTTCTGTGTGGAGTATCTGAACCGGAAGTTGAACATAGATCTTAACAGTCACCTGACCGAGGAACAACGGGCTGTTGCGCATGCCTTTCGAAAGATGGCGGAGGAAAACCTATTCTGGTTGGTTTCAAAGGATTACAATTTTCGAGGACGCAATGTAGTGTTGTCCATCTGCTGTCTTGTGTTGTAATGACTTCGTATCGTATTGTCCCTGTGCCATATTGTCCTCAGTATCGTATTGTACCTGTGTCGTACAGTCCCTGTTTGTATTGTCCCTCTGCCATATTGTTCCTGTGAAGAATTTTCCCTGTGTCATATTGTCTATGTGCCATATTGTCCCTGTTTTATATTGCCACTGTGTAATATTGTCCCTGTGCCATATTGTCATTGTGTCGTATTGTCCCTGAGTCAAATTACCCCTCTGTCATATTGTCCTTGTGTCGCATTGTCCCTGTCCCGTGTTGTCCTTCTGTCGTATTGTCCTTGTGCCATACTGTCCTTGTGTCATATTGTCCTTGTGCCATATTGTCCTTGTGTCGTATTGTACCTGTGTCGTACTGTCCATCCGTCATATTGTCCCTCTGCCATATTGTTCCTGTGAAGTATTTTCCCTGTGTCATATTGTCTATGTGCCATATTGTCCCTGTTTTATATTGCCACTGTGTAATATTGTCCCTGTGCCATGTTGTCATTGTGTCGTATTGTCCCTGAGTCAAATTACCCCTCTGTCATATTGTCCTTGTGTCGTATTGTCCCTGTTCCGTGTTGTCCTTGTGTCGTATTGTCCTTGTGGCATATTGTCCTTGTGTCGTATTTTCCTTGTGTCATATTGTCCTTGTGTCATATTGTCCCTCTGTCATATTGTCCTTGTGTCATATTGTCCCTCTGGCATATTGTCCTTGTGTCATATTGTCCCTGGGTCGTATTGTCCCTCTGGCATATTGTCCCTGTGTCGTATTGTCCCTCTGTCATATTGTCCTTGTGTCGTATTGTCCCTGTGTCGTATTGTCCCTGTGTCGTATTGTCCCTCTGTCATATTGTCCTTGTGTCGTATTGTCCCTGTCCCGTGTTGTACTTGTGTCGTATTGTCCCTCTGCCATATTGTTCTTGTGTCATATTGTCCTTATGTCGTAGTATCCCTCTGTCATATTGTCCTTGTGCCATATTGTCCCTGTGTCGTATTGTCCCTGTGTCGTATTGACCATCCGTCATATTGTGCCTCTGTCATATTGTCCTTGTGGCATATTGTCCCTCCGTCATATTGTCCTTGTGTCGTATTGGCCCTGTGCCATATTGTCCTTGAGTCGTATTGTCCATCCGTCATATTGTGCCTCTGTCATATTGTCCTTGTGGCATGTTGTCCCCCTGGCATATTGTCCTTGTGTCATATTGGCCCTGTGTCGTATCTGGCCCTGTGTCGTGTTGGCCCTGTGTCGTATTGTCCCTCTGTCATATTGTCCCTGTGTCGTATTTTCCCTCTGCCATATTGTCCTTGTGTCATATTGTCCTTGTGTCGTAGTGTCCCTCTGTCATATTGTCCTTGTGCCATATTGTCCCTGTGTCGTATTGTCCTTGTGTCGTATTGTCCCTCCATTTCTGGCTTGTCAAAGCGTACAGCATGTGTGTCAATCTTGTTGCCATCTGCTCTCCACATTCTTTTAGTGCCAGGTAACGGTAGGGTTCGCAAATGTTGAAATATCCTCACTTTGTTTAGCAGATGAAAAAGGGCATAGGTCACTACTGCGCTGCATATATCGTTATAATATACATGTTATGTGATAACCCATGACGTGCCAAAGACAGTTGATGTTTTGACCTCGGCAATGTTTTGACCATTACGCATCTTTGCAGGTGTATGGGCCTGTCCCGGGCTGAGAACCTGGACTACGTGAAGAAACACATCAAGTTGAACAAACTGGTAATCTGGATCGGAACACGAATTTACCTGAGTAATACGAAAGCGCACGGAATCGGCCGACACACCCATGAGGAAGTGTTGCCCATTATGGAGGAAGATTTGAGATCATTATCAGTCTACCTTGGTAAGAGATGTCGTCAATTGTGATGGGTTTAAATAGGGTTTCTTGTGACGTTCAAGTTTATTGCCCTCATATAGCAGTGTGCAATTACGTGCTTGAACTAGTCTGTGCTGCCCTCTGCGCAATAACGTTGGAGTTTACTATGGATACCGGGTATGCATGGACTCCCAGGTGACCAGTTCTTGTTTTATCTCCTTAATACCAGGCAGGGCAACAACAAGTGTCATTCTTTTACTTGTTTTGGCAGCAGGGAATCGGGCCAACGAGTGAGTGAGTATGGTTTTACGCCGTTTTCAGCAATAGTCCAGCAATATCACACGGCGGGGGAAACGGGAAACGGGCTGTGCACACTGTTCCTATTTGGGGACTAGAACCCGAGTCTTCAGTGTGATGGCGTACGCTTTAACCACTAAGCTACCCCACCTCCCGGTCCCGAACCAACGAACTTCCGCCCTCAGGGAAGACAATCCATGTACTACAAAACAGCACTCAAATTTCATTGTTTATTGAGCATCAGTGGTCAAACATTTTAACTCTTTTCATCTGTACAACTTTTCTAATATTGACAGGGACAAAGAAATTCTTTTTCGGCGATCAACCATGTGAGACAGATGCTGCTTTGTTTGGACTGTTGTGCCAGTTTTGCTGGCAGTGTCCAGGAAGCAAAGGGGAACAACTCGTGAACGGTAAATACGTTGCCACAAAGACCTCTGTGGTGCTGTCTGGTCGTTCAGCCTTTAGAGTCCATTATTCATTTGGTCGTAGGTTGACAACCCATGAGAACGTCAACGTTTGTTTGTTTGTTTGTTTGTTTGTTTGTTTGTTTGTTTGCACTCAGCAGTATTCAAGCTATAAGGCGGCGGTCCGTAAATAATCGAGTATGGACCAGACAATCATGTGATCAGCATCATGAGCATCGATCTACGTATTTGGGGACACGATGACATACGTGTCGAACAAGTCAACGAGTCCGATCCCGTTAGCCGCCTCTTACGACAAGCATGGGTAGCTGAAGATCAATTCTAATCCGGATCTTAACGGGTGTCTAGACCGTTAGGATTAGAAGTTATTTCTCTGTTTTCCGCTTCCTTTTGTTTCGTTATATTCCCTATGTACATATAATTCTCTGCGAAGTCGGTTAAAATAGAATTCTTGCTTCCTTTGGTAAGTTTAGGGGGTTATAATGTGAATGAGTGAGTATGGCTTTACGCTGCTTTTAGCAATATTCCAACAACGACAGGGAACATTGTACCTAAGTGGGGAATCGAACCCGGGTGTTCGATGTGACGAGCCAACGCGCTCTAACCACTATGCTACCTCACCACCCCTGTTACGTATTCGTCACCACTCATCCCTTTCCGTAACCTCCAAGAAGACTCCATTCGTCACCACTCGCCCCATTTCGTAACCTCCAAGAAGACTCCATTCGTCACCACTCGCCCCATTCCGTAACCTCCAGGAAGACTCCATTCGTCACCACTCGCCCCTTTCCGTAACCTCCAGGAAGACTCCATTCGTCACCACTCGCCCCTTTCCGTAACCTCCAAGAAGACTCCATTCGTCACCACTCGCCCCTTTCCGTAACCTCCAAGAAGACTCCATTCGTCACCACTCGCCCCTTTCCGTAACCTCCAAGAAGACTCCATTCGTCACCACTCGCCCTTCCGTAACCTCCAAGAAGACTCCATTCGTCACCACTCGCCCCTTTCCGTAACCTCCAGGAAGACTCCATTCGTCACCACTCGCCCCTTTCCGTAACCTCCAGGAAGACTCCATTCGTCACCACTCGCCCCTTTCCGTAACCTCCAAGAAGACTCCATTCGTCACCACTCGCCCCTTTCCGTAACCTCCAAGAAGACTCCATTCGTCACCACTCGCCCCTTTCCGTAACCTCCAAGAAGACTCGTCCCCGTCTCGATGCTTTTTATGTGCGAAAATACGACAAACTAATCAAAACGCGCGTAATGGTTCGGTGCTTTGATAAAAATAATCCCGACTACTTAAATCGTTTATGGCATTATATTATTGTATAAAAAACATGAAAAATATACATCGTCATTTTGAAAATACTAAGAACGTAGCTAACAGAACTGTGCTGTCTAATGTGAAGTTTTTATATGAATCATGAGATTGACAGTGAGAGATTCAAATGGAAAAATAAAAACAGCAATACAATGTATGAGTTCTTCGGTGATATTAAATACCACTGGAATCAAACAGGAATAGAGTTATCGTTCCTGTTTGAAGTAGATCTGATGTTCCTACGCCAATATGAAATCCTTCTAGAGGGCCACGAGTCGCTCTTCGGCTTGTCCCGGAAAAACACGAGTTGGTCACGAATGAAAGCGTACCTGTTTGCGTCAGGGAATTGTGGGACATTTTTAGGGAAATCCCTTATATTAACACACGTTCGATAGTGACATGCTAATAAATGTTTAATACCATCGAATTTAAGGGTGCGATTCCCAAAAAATGCTGTAAGAGTTTAATTGATTCAATTTTATTATTATTTGTCGATCATTACCCGGCCATTCTTCATTGCTTTGATAACTTCAGTGTCAGGATAAATCTCAGGCTATCTCTGCTTTCATTCCTAAGACAGGTCAATTCTGACTTTGTACATTCCCGTCAAACCACGGAACAGATAACTAACGATTACGAGCGTCGAGTCGTTTCAAACAATAGAACAGTTCAGAGATGATCATAAAACGTTGTCCGGAACGAAACGAGTGGTTCCCATTGTTCTATAGCTATAACTTTCAAAAAAAGACTGGGAGACATTTCTCACAGCCATACGGTATTAAAGGGTATGTTAAAGTATATACCTACCAGTATGATCACTTTGTCAAACTGGGCCTTCAGCCAGTGATCACAATCAAATAAATAGAATAGAAGTAAATGATACTGACTAAAAGCGTTTCCATTTCAGTCTTCCAAAGATTTATATTTAAGGGACATCGGCGCCCGAGAGGATCTGGGTTGGAATTTGTCCTTTAGCAACACAGGATTGTGGTAATAGGCGACTAACGGGATCGTGTGGTCAGACTGGCTGACCTGGTTGAAACATGTCATCGTATCCCAACTGCGTAGATCGATGCTCATGATCTCAATCACTCGCTTGTCTTGTGACTCAAAAATTAACAGACCGCCGTCATACAACTGGAATATTACCGAGTGCGTCATTAACTGATAAACAAACAAAGCGTAATATTGGTACACCATTGTCATCCTTCGAGTATAACTAATAGTGCCCCGTATTCTCCAGAATGACCAAAACATGTACGTATTTAAGTGGCTCATTTCTAGGGAGAAGTAACGATCTGGCATATCCTTTAGAAGGTTTGTTTGTATTTGACAAATGTTAAGTATAACATTACGACAGAAACATGTATTTTATGTTACTTATATTGAGAAAAAGGCAAGGGTCTAAACTACTATGCTGCCGTTCGGTTTTCTTTCAGACAAGTTCACAAACCTGGTGGAGTATTGCGAGCGAATGAAGGCGACATTTTGGCCGGACTGGGAGGACTGCATCACGGCGGACGGAACTAAAACTGCAACATATAAAATGACATGACAATGAACTTAATAAATGGAATGTAACCCAAAAGTAAACACTTTTTAAACATATACATACGCCGCCAGATAACCTGTCGGACAATGATAATGTTACTGCATTTGCATAATAAATATCGTAGCCAGACTACCAACCTAACCCAAGGCAATCAGTAGTAAATGTTTTTACTGAACAGACAATATCAAATGTTTTCAAGTCTCGATTAAAAATAAATCATCCCCGTTCAATATACCAGCAACACCACACACCGGCACGGTAACAAGCCTGTCATTCTTGAAGTACCCAACAAGCCTTGTTCCTTACTGTCACGGAGTTTCTGACGTTGTCTTGTAGTGAGGTCATTCGATATGCCATACCCTCCTTCCTTCATCACTGGGCAAGCTTTCAGTGCGTCGAGCTGATTCTCTGAACTTGGCAGTAAGGGGTCTCGGTCTACTAGCATCCGAGCTTTCAGTACCAAGGCGATGAGCACGAATAATATCACTGGTTGACCATGTCTTAACATGTACATGATCATTTAGGATGGAGAAAAAAGTATCCTGGCACTGGATATTTCTTTCACCAGGTTCCTCGGCTACGCCATAGAGTATAACATTGTCTCTCGTACCTAAAGCCTCTAGTTTATCCAACTCGTTGTCGAACCTTGTCAACTGGTCCTGCACCAGATCAAGCTTATCAGTGAGCGAGTCAGTATCAGCGTTCACCATTTCGATACTCTGGAGCATGTGTGTCAATTCGGATTTCAACTCTGCCGTTTGTGATTCCAATGTTCATATATCTTATGTAACCTCTTTACTTTATTAGTTACGTCATTCAGATTTCTACTGATACTTTATTTAAAGTTTTTAAATTGGGTAATTAATTCATCTATTGAATCCTTAAGTGATAATGGTACTGGGTTCGAGTCCACGTCATTTGAACATATAATTCTGTGGGTAACAACTTCAGCCGGCACCGGTCCACCACCAAGCAACACACATCACGATACCCACGTGCAGTGTGATAGGCAACGTGCAGCTGATCAAATTCCAATTTGATGACGTCAACAAACAAAACAGTTTGAAATGGTGGCTTTTTCGGCAGATAAACAGAAAAGTCCTTTCAGTGAATATAAGTTAGCTAGATATGTTGATGCTCCGAATCCCTCCGATAGTGATAGCGAGCACCTGTGCACAAATAAGAGTCTATATTGAATATCAGAACATCTCAGTGTGGGTACCCGTGAATTAAGGTCCGGATTAGAATATTGATCTTCAGAAACCCATGCTTGTTGTAAGAGGCGACTAAAGGGATCGGGTGGTCAGACTCGCTGACTTGGTTGAGACATGTCATCGGTTCCCAATTGCGCAGATCGATGCCCATGCTGTTGATCACTGGAGTGTCTGGTCCAGACTCGATTATTTACATACCGCCGCCATATAGCTGGAATATCGTTGAGTGCGGCGTAAAGCTAAACTCACTCACTCACTCTGATTGCGGGTGAGTAGACGACATACTTGTCGACAACAATTAGCCGGGTGCCCCTTGGATTTGTAAAAATCCGATCAATAGATATCAATCGATATTTATGCATTATCCTTATCTTGATTGCTGATATATAAGACTTGTAACAATGTGTCATCTGTTTCTGTATTTACTCATTTATTTACTAATCCGATCAATAGATATCAATCGATATTTATGCATTATCCTTATCTTGATTGCTGATAAATAAGACTTGTAACAGTGTGTCATCTGTTTCTGTATTTACTCATTTATTTACTAATCCGATCAATAGATATCAATCGATATTTATGCATTATCCTTATCTTGATTGCTGATAAATAAGACTTGTAACAATGTGTCATCTGTTTCTGTATTTACTTGTACATGTATTTGTTTATGGGAGCAGCCTTCTAATTGGCTCCTCGGAGCTTGTTGGCCAATCCATTCATATCTTCATGAATAAATATATTTAAACCATATCATCTTCCAAATTGAGGACACTAAAGGTTGTTTAAACTCACAGTTAGTACCTCAGTGTCCGATCGTGTCGTTAGGCTCAGTATTTCCACTTTTCTGCGCAGTTCACACACAGTTTTCGCAATATTTTAGGGCCTATTCGATTATGCTAAACCGGTTTGGGTTTCGGGAAAACCATGCACTCGATTATGTCGAACCTAACACTGGTTTCTGAAACTTCGAAACCATCTCCGAGGCAGGTTTCGCAGTTTCGGTTTCGCGTTCTCTCACAACAAATATGGCTGAAAAGAAAGCGCTAAGTTCAGTTGATCTTGGTGGCCAAATAGAGCAGCGGTTCCTGTGACCAAAATAATGATAAAAATCAACTGAGAACTAGGAAAATATTATCTGAAACCCCAGTCTATTGACAATGACTATTTTATGTAACTTGAATATATATAATTACTTGTAACAGTATAATTACATATACGCAAATATTTACCTCCAAAAGCATCTGTCTCATTTTTATTTGTTAATCACTGATAAAATGAAAAAAATATTACCTTCGGCAATGCTGTCATTCAATTTGTACAACATATACATTAGCTGAGACATTTTTTCTGGTATCTATTTTGAAACCGGATGGTGTGACCATCCACTCGTTTATAAAACTAAAAACTAGTTTCACTTTGAGACCATGTATCCGAAACTAGACACTCGTTTATAACTGGGGAAACCCGTTTCAGAAACCAAAACAAGTTTCGCAATAATCGAACAAGCCCTTAAATTGCCATTTGACTGTCTGGGACTGCTGCCGCCTGCAGACTTTAAAATCTACAGGTCCGGAATGAAATCTGCAGGCCCATTTTGATAAAGTCAAACACACACACACCTTACTATCACAAGCTACCGGAAGTCTACCATTGTAAACATAGAACCTTTAATTTCAGTGCACTCGTTTCTCAATTTAAGAGGCAGATTTGATTCATAAATCATGTGTTCATATGACATATATTTTTTAACAATGATTGGCGTTATTTTTCGTTTTTGTAACATGTTTTTATTATTCACATTGTACATTCATCATGACATGATTACTCTTCTAATGTACCCCCAGAGCGGTATTCACATAAGCTTGTGCTTGTTTACCAATCCGGCTCTTTTTAACAGTAAAATATCTTGGTTTCTGAACAACGGAAACCTAACTGAAAGTAAATGGAAACTTAGGTTTCAATTAGGTTTCTGGACCATTTCTCTACATTTCCTTCACGTTTCCGGAAAACGGAAACCTTCAAAGTTACCCAGAATCCGGTAAGGCTGCAGTAAGTTTCCGTTTCACAGATTCCTGTAAGGCTCCAGTGAGTTTCTGTTACACAGATCCCGTAAGGCTCCAGTGAGTTTCTGTTACCCAGATTCCCGTAGGGCTCCAGTGAGTTTCCGTTACACAGATTCCCGTAAGGCTCCAGTGAGTTTCAGTTACCCAGATTCCTGTAAGGCTCCAGTGAGTTTCAGTTACCCAGATTCCCGTAAAGCTCCAGTGAGTTTCAGTTACCCAGATTCCCGTAAAGCTCCAGTGAGTTTCCGTTACCCAGATTCCTGTAAGGCTCCAGTGAGTTTCAGTTACCCAGATTCCCGTAAGGCTCCAGTGAGTTTCCGTTACACAGATTCCCGTAAGGCTCCAGTGAGTTTCCGTTACACAGATTCCTGTAAGGCTCCAGTGAGTTTCCGTTACACAGATTCCCGTAAAGGCTCCAGTGAGTTTCCTGTTACACAGATTCCCGTAAGGCTCCAGTGAGTTTCCGTTACACAGATTCCCGTAAGGCTCCAGTGAGTTTCAGTTACACAGATTCCTGTAAGGCTCCAGTGAGTTTCCGTTACACAGATTCCCGTAAGGCTCCAGTGAGTTTCCGTTACACAGATTCCTGTAAGACTCCATTGAGTTTCCGTTACACAGATTCCTGTAAGGCTCCAGTGAGTTTCCGTTACACAGATTCCTGTAAGGCTCCATTGAGTTTCCGTTACACAGATTCCTGTAAGACTCCATTGAGTTTCTGTTACACAGATTCCTGTAAGGCTCCAGTGAGTTTCCGTTACACAGATTCCTGTAAGGCTCCAGTGAGTTTCCTTTACACAGATTCCTGTAAGGCTCCAGTGAGTTTCCGTTACACAGATTCCCGTAAGGCTCCAGTGAGTTTCCATTTTCCGTAAGGCTCCAGTGAGTTTCTGTTACACAGAATCATGTAAGGCTCCAGTGAGTTTCCGTTACACAGATTCCTGTAAGGCTCCAGTGAGTTTCCGTTACACAGATTCCCGTAAGGCTCCAGTGAGTTTCCATTACACAGATTCCCGTAAGGCTCCGGTTACCCAGAATCCTGTACGGCTCCAGTGAGTTTCAGTTACCCAGATTCCCGTAAGGCTCCAGTGAGTTTCCGTTACACAGATTCCCGTAAAGCTCCAGTGAGTTTCCGTTACACAGATTTCTGCAAGGCTCCAGTGAGTTTCCGTTGCACAGATTCCCGTAAGGCTCCAGTGAGTTTCCGTTACCCAGATTCCTGTAAGGCTCCAGTGAGTTTCCGTTATCCTCTACTTTTAGTTGGTTTCAGTTATTTAGTTAATTCAGTTAGATTTCTCCCTCGCCCGTTACGGACACAGCGACTGGGCAGCTGTCTACCTTGGCAAAACTCCATCATTCCCTGTTACAACTAACTGGGGGCGATGGGGTAGCCTAGTGGTTAAAGCGTTGGCTCGTCACGCCGAAGACCCGGGTTTCGAATCCCCACATGGGTACAATGTGTGATGCCCATTTCTGGTGTCCCCCGCCGTGATGTTGCTGGAATATTGCTAAAAGCGGCGTAAAACTAAACTCAGTCAGTCAGTACAACTAACTGCCTGTGGTATTTGAAAACAAATTAGATTGAAGTCCTCTGATTGCCAGTCGAATTGCCCCGGCTACAAATTGCCAAAGAAAAATTTAGTCAAATTGTCTCGAAGTTTTAGTCAAATTGCCCCAGGGGTAGTCAAAATGCCCCAGTATATTTAAAATGATTAAATGTATGCCA